ACTTGCAATCCAAATAAGATGTGTTTGATTGAAACCTGTTTTTTTTTTTAAAGATTTATTTATTTATTTAAACAAGCACTGGGTACAGTCAGAAGTGCAGGAGGGTGAGAGAATTCACCAGAGCCAGAGCAGGGAGCAGAATAGGCAGAAGGACCAAAGTACACTGCTGAGGGGAGCAGCGGGCATGGCAGGAGAGGACTGCATGCCATGTGGGACCCTCACCGGGCTGGGGATCAAACCAGCGCTGCAGAGGCTGAGGGCAGCTTCGCAGTCCAGCGCTCAACTGCTGTGCCACCAGGGGAGGCCCAAACCTATTATTAAAGCTTTACTCATACACATTTCTAGAATGAGATTACTTCAGAAAAACAAATTTCAACCTAACTGTTTAATGTATGTTTACCTTTTTCTTTACCTTTTCGAACATTTCTACTAATAAATGCTATATCCCAGTCTCTTAAAGAACAATGGACCCGCTGCTCCCCTCAGCAGTGTATTTCAGTAGATCCACCTGTTCTGCTCCCCACTCTGTCTCTGATGAATCCTCTCACCCCCCGCATCTCTGGCCTGTACCCCAGCCCTTGTATGCATAAAAAATGAATCTTAAAAAAAATTTAAAAAAAAAAAAGAACAATGGATAAATTAACCACTGGCAAGAGTTAACTAAAGACTGAGTTTATCTATCTTAACTTGAATTGAAGTTTGCTCACCAGGAACTACTCAGATTTTACTGTCACACTTCCTTCTCTCTCTCTAGGAAAAAAGACTCTATTGACTATTTTCATCACAGGGCCTAAATGAATTCGACAAAGTTGTTGCCACCCAAACTAACCAAGAAGAGTCAATAGAACATATGCTTTAGGGAGGACCAAGTGATTATGTAAAGAAATGCTCCTCATTGTTCAGTTTTTTCCCTTGAAATGCTCATAATACTTCTTCCACTTGTCTGCCTCTAAAACTGAGAATTTCCCTCATGGCCTCCTCCCTGAAATTATGGACTGTTTTTTAAGAGTTCTTAAGAGTTCACCTTCTCAAAGACAACTCTAGCTCCATAGTTAGTAAATCCCTCTGATAAGAACACAAGAATTTTACTTTCTAATATTCCAAAGATACATAATATAGACAAAATAAAGTCCACCCCTATTTTGAGTGCAATGTCTTCATTATTTTGCTGATACCCTATTTTCCTACCTTGTGTTGTTTTGTCCTATTCAACTCAATTTCTAAGAGCTGAGAATTCACTTCTACTTTCCAGTCTAATGTCAGGGCTCTACCAATTCTACAGGCTAATGTGGGCTCTTTGTACTGAAGAAATATTAATACTTTTTACTACACCCTTCTATGTCCTCACCCCTTTACCTCTGCTTTTGCATTTAATAAACTATCTTTTACTGATAACCCATTCATTCACAGCAATGTTTTCCCTTATAAATTTTTTTTTACCTTCACTTTTCATTTCATAGACTTTGTAACCTAACATTTTGAACTCAGTCTTCAACTTTACTTCTTCAAACTACCATTTCACATTATTTAAAAAAAAAAAAAAAAAACAGAATACAGCTATAGCTTAAATCAAATAACTCCTATAGTCTGTCTTAAGAGTAAGCTTCCGTATCTTTCTCTCTCATTATCCCTTCCTGTGTTTTTACTGTTTTACACCAACTTTTCTTCCAAGTACAATTTAATCAACAAATCTTAAATAACTATTAATCTATATTCTAATTGAGGAACAAGGCCAGTGTGGTAAAGTATTACCTCCCCAACAATGATATTATTTTCTCTTTTTTGACAAGTGCTGTGTATAACTACCTGGTCTCCAGCAACCAGATTTCTCATGTCGTCCACCTGCCTATCAGAGACCCACCTTCCCACCTATAAATTATTTTACTTGGTGAAGAGGCCATGTTTTGATCATTTCCCTTTCTACCTATCAAAACTTACTTATTCTGTGGCCATTCTTCTCAACTAGTAGTTTCCCTACAAAGAAATCTGATAAGCTCTACCTATCAAAACACTTGTAATTAATAATTATTTAATGGATTTCCCTTCCCAATGGGACATCATTTTAATAATGACTTCTGAAGACTTCTGTGACCTGTTGAGGAAATTTGGGGAATGTAAAAGTCACTCTGGCACCTCAAGTCAGTGACATAGGTGACCACATCCATTATCAATCTAACACAAGCCCCAGAAGGGATACCAAATCAATAATGTGAGGGTAAGAGGGGCTTTACAGAATGGTTAGGACTCTAGGACATGATTCTCAGATCTGGGTGCTCATTTCCAGCTCCCAGTAGAGAAGAATGACAACCAAAGAAGTCAATTTAAAAGTCAGTGACTAAACTGGACCTATTATCCAGACTAACATTATGTCAGCCTAACACTATATATAAGAACAAAATGCTGAAAATATAAAATAATGCATGGGAATGAAAAAATATCAATCCGGGACAGTGATAACCCTTAGGGAGTGGGGGAAAATGCAGCTGAAAAGAGATAAGCTAGGTGACATCAACTAAATGGGTAATATTTTATTTACAAATCTAAGGGGTAATGCATATGTATTTATTAAATTTGCCCCATTATCTTTTGCATGTCTAAAATATTGTGATTAAAAAAAAGGACCAATATGAAGATGACATATACTCAAACAGATGTAGATGAATATTAGGAATACAGAGAAATACCTTATGTTAGAAAGCACTCTAACAAGATACCTTAAGAAACAGACCTTAAAGAAGAATAAAATATAGATTACTAACAAAAAAATTACAAACTTTTCTAAAGGAAAAGCATGAATAAAGTACCCACAGCATAAACCTGAATAAAGATCAACAGGGAAAATTCATGAGGATAAATATACCCCGATGGGAAAGTCTGGAGATTAATTAAGGTTGATACCAAGTGATGGAGACCTTGGGCCCTAAGTAGACTAATGTGTTCCAATCAAAAATTTAAAAAAAAAAAAAAAAAGCAGCCTGACTGAAGTTTCAGCAAAACACATCAGAAGCAATATGTAGGATGAAGCTATATGCAGGATGAACTGTTCTATAGAACATTAGGAGCAAAAGGGGAATAGACAGTAAAGGGCTAGGAAACAGGTTCTGATGTCCTGCCCCTACTCCCAACAGAGTCCTTCTGCTGTTAAAATGTTTCCACTGTTAAAAAAAAACCTTTAAAACCACTGGACTATAGCATGCCCAATTTGAATTATCGCTGTTAATCAGGTGTGAGGACCATAAATCCCTGGAATAGGATAGTTGTAGGGGGAATGAACCTGCAAATTTTCTGATGGAAAATTTGATAGTGTCCAGTGACAAAAAGATGGAACAATGAAAGAGTGGATCCAACCTGGAAAAAAAAATACCAACTGAGCTACAGACTTGAATATGAGCAACATAAAAGTGGTGTTATGATAGATAAGGCAGAAAAGTGACATTCTCACAGGACTTAGGAAGAGAACATGCAAAGGGGACTAGAAGAGTATAGAAGGAGATGATCACACATTACAAAATACTAAGAAAGCAAGTGAGAGTTTCATAGAAGAGGCATCACTGTACACAACCTTTGCAGCCAATCAGACCCAGAGTTCAGGAAGGGCCACCTGACCATGTTAGTTATTCTCTCTTAACTTCATATAACAGGGAAAACATAAACTAACAACAACCACTACTGAACTCATTTAGAAGCACTGTGCTTTACATATGACCTCATTTAATCCTCATTTCAAAGATGAAGCAATTAAATTTGGAACAAGCATAGTAAGTTGTAAAGTCAGGATTCCTATGTCTTAGGACAATAAAAATACAGAAATGTGTGTATAAAGTTCTAGCAAATAGTATGATCTAAAAAATGGTAGCTATATTTTATTATTAGAAGGTAATGATCAATAGAGGCAATGCAAAAACTCACTGTTATCCTTGTCATGGCCTTCCATGTGGAAACTCTCTTAATGTCCTCATCTATAAAACATGACTAATGCCTGTAATATAACCTATTCAACAGGGTTGTTATTAGTATTAAAATGCATTATGTAAATGAAAATGCTATAAAATGTTCTACTTGGTGCACTTTTAACCCTAACTTATAAAGGATTAACGTCTCACATCTTTGCTCTTCAGAAATGTCTTTCTGAATCAACAGAAGTCTCTCTACAGGGTGCTAAAATAAGTCTGTTAAAGGTATAACCATCACTTTCAAAAGTGTATGTCACCACAGAATGGTGATATACCATCTACAACACACCTTCTCCTGATCCAGGTACATTAGGTTACCTAATGTCAGACGTTCTCCTACACCCATAAAGAAACTGATAGCTTAGAGTAGAGGTTTCTAATCACAAGAGAGAAGAGGTTCCACTTCAATTCAGTGTTGTTCAATCAGGTCTTAATATGTATCTCAGAGGTGGCCCTTTACAGTCCCTTCCAAAACAGAAAGGGGCGGGAACAGTGGGGGAAAAAAGTGATTGCAACTTTCCTCTATAGTATTAAAACTGGGAGCCCAGTCAATACAGGAATTTGAATACTTTACAAATGCCAGAGAAGACTCTCCTTTTGCTAACTGGTCTCTTTTGAATCTCCACAACTCTCTTTTTTCCACCTAAACAGATGGTTGCCAGGTCTCGAGGCTCACATGTCCAGTCACGCAATTCACAATAACCACGTTCCTACCTTTTTAATCATTAATGATTATTAATTATTTTAGTACTTATTTAATAAATTATTGTGTCCACGGATACACCACTTTTCAGCTAAAGATGACTAGGTATCAGAACAGATGAAATCTTTAATTTTCACAAAGGCACTATTTGGGAACAAAACTATTACTCTTATTTTAAAATTGAAAGTGAAAAAACTGAAGTTAAATGTTTTATCTAACAACACTTGGTTGGCTGATTCATTCTTGGGGGAAATGCACATTAGGAACTTTTATCAATGGACAACCTTAGCTTAGCTTCCTAAGATTATTTCAAGCACTAGTTTCAAAGATCAGTTCAAACTTACCTGCTGTAGACTCATACACTTCCAATGCCTCAAAGATTAAATATAAGCTCACGTTAAATACCAAAGCATCACTATTTTCACATGCTAAAAGAAAAAAAAAAAAAACTATAGGGGGTAGGGGTTCCAATTTAAGATCACCACTGTCTTGCACCAGAAATACTTCCGAACTTCAGGGGGGCGGCGGGAGGAACACCTGTCAGTTCTGCATATTCTCATTATTTTACAGCTGTGTAGCTATTAATATATTTACTCATTTTTTAATACACTTAATCTGTAAACAACTGTTTCTTCAAAGGGGGCAACACTACGACAAACACAAAACCTACACGGCTGTGAACCCCCTAATTTCCTCGTTTTACGTCTCCGAGGCTTCGTGAAATTGCCACGAGGTAAAACTCTGCCCAACCCCAGGCCGCGGGCCGCGGGGAGTTGGCTCTGCCCAGCGACCGTCCTCGCGCCAGGCCCCGCCGGCAGCCGAGGCGAGGCCTCCCCGGGCCCCCTCGGCCCGCGGACCGACCGCGCCCGAACTCGGACCTGCCCCGCGACCCTCAGAGCGCCCGGCCCGCGGCCGGCCCGGCGGAGAGGGGGTCGCGGCCCCGCCCGGCCTGGCCGCCCCTCCCCCGCCCCCTCCCCGCGGCGGTTACCTCTTGGGCGCCGGCGGCTGCTCCATGGCGGCCCCGGGCAGAGGGAGGGACCGGTGGGCGGCGAGGCCGGAGGGAGACAAGGGGCCGGGACACCGGCCGGCCCAGCCCGGCGGAACAGGGAAACTCCAGGAACTCGGACCAACTTTCCCGTAACTCCGCGGCGGATCCCCTCCCGCTCCCGAGCGCGGCTCCTCCCGGCCCGCCCCTCCCCTCAGCCGCCGGCTGCGGTCTAGGGAGGGTGGGAAGGCCGGGAGCGGGAGCGCGGGGCGGGGCGGCCTCCGCGCAGGCATGATGGGCGGGGCCAGGCCCTGGGGAGGGGGCGGGGTCTGGGCCTGGGGGAGGAGTCGGGGCGGGGAGGGGCGGAGTCGGGGCGGGGGAGGGCGGAGTCGGGGCGGGGGAGGGCGGGCCTTCTCGCCGGGAGGGGAGGAGGGGGGATGGGGGAGCCGGGCTGTGACCTACAGCTTCTCTAAGCTGGTGTTGGGTACCTTCTTTTGAGCTGGCCCAGAGCATCTGCTCCTCACTTGCCTTCATTGCTTTTGCCCCAATCCGATGTGCTCATTTTTCTGGATTTCCCAAGGACACATCTGAAACATCCTGTGAAGTCTTTTGAAGTATTTCTAGCTGCCCACGCGTCCCCCTCCAGTTCTGTTTATAATTACTGGTTTGGATTCCCGCCTCCACCCCCGCCCCCCCCCCTCCCCAGACAGTTGACATTTGTAGCTACAAGACAAGGGATACTTCTGGAAATTCTTGTTTGATTTTGATTGTGGACAAGGTCCTCGGTACATTTCACAATAATTGCATCTAATTACAAAGAAAATATTTACTGCAGTGAGCTCTCCCATTGCACCAAAATTAACACAGTGTGGTCTTGCTGGGTAGACTGGCAAACATGCCAAATGTTATGGTGCATGGAAAGTACTCAGAAGTTTGCTTCCTTTCCTATTGCAACCCTCTTCCACCAACCTGCTCCCAAGACCCTTCCCCACTGTAATGTGACCCATTGATTATCCATGTTTATGTACCATTTAACCTTAAATTCCATATGTAGATATGGTTCTTATGAGTGCATGCAACTGCTATGTAATGAGTTTGCTTGTTTTCATAGAAATTGTCAAGCTGTAGTGTCACAAAGAGTTTTCTTGGAGATTAGAATCAAGAATATGAAAAGAATATTGATTGACTAATGGAATTTTGTAAAATCAACGCAAATTAAATTTCCCTATAAAAGATGCTCCTCTTTTTGCATTAAGTTCCAGTATACAACTCATGTGATTTATTTTCAAATCATTATAGTCCCCTCTAAATTTATTTTATTTCATTAAAAGCATTCATTGAACCCTAAAATCAAGTTTGTGAACAAGAATAATGGTTACAATATTTTATTCTCCTTCAGATTTTTGAAGCTCACCAGTCTAACAGTTCAGAAGTAACAAAATAACCAAAAAACTAAATAATCAAAACATTACACCTCAGAGGAAATTTTGAAATAATTTCATTCTATCTCTCTCATCTTCATTTGCATGCCCTATTTCCAACTTCTTATGTTTTATCCAAAAAAAAAAAACTCTATTAGAAAAGGTCATTTCATCTTTTTTTTAATATTCCTTCTTTTTAATGGACTCAACATCTCATACTTTAAAAGTCTCTGAGTTTTGTTACCAAACTTATTATCCGGGATTACTTTCCCACTCAAACCACCAGCAGCAACACCCACCACTTCCAACATCTACGTCGTGAAGGAGTTACCACTCTTATATGTGCCCATAACACACTGTTCTGGCTTTTGTATGATGCTTACTACAGTGAAGTTCTGTTAATTTGATGGTCATCTCACCCCAACTGTGAGCCTGCTGAAAATTGTACTGTTTTTTATTCTTTCTATTCCTTGCATAGCAAGGACTCTGGGTTAGATAGCTTCCTTTTGCTCCCCCAGATTCTTCTCCACCAGCTCCTTACTCTCTGCCCTGCAGGCCTACCTGTATGATTGCCATCAGTGGATTCCCAGTTCTCTGGCTTATGGCTAGTTGTGATGATATGGAGACCCAGCAGGAGAACATCTGAGGGAGAAAAGATCATTAAGTCCGCTATTTATTTCCCTTATTGCCCGCTGTGAAGGCACCTAGTAGGGCCCCAGTTCTCTCTCCCCCTCATCCCTTGGGTGATGGGGTAGTGACTACTCTGCTACTCATTGGAGTCTTCTTCCATTACCTTAACCTTAATCTTCCTATACCTTAACCTGCCTCAAATTACCCTTGGTAATGTAAATCCTCCTCACATGACTCGAATTTAGTGTAACTTCAAGAGGGTTTCTGACCGGAACCCATTCTGAGACATGCATAAAGTAAGTTTGTGGAAGGAAGAGGAATAATATCAAAAATAAATAAATATTTGAGACCTCCTCTCAATTTGAAAAGAGAAAACACTAACAGTTGTGTGACTCCAATAGGACCAGACACTAGGTCTACATTATCGCATTAAACCCTGAAAATTACCTTATTAGGCAGTTATTTCTACTTTATAGGTAATGAAACTGGTTCAAAAGGGGTGAAGGATGTCACCCTAGGTCAAACAGATTATGAGCATTCTAATCCAAGCCTTTATAACTCCAAAGCCAAGTCTTATCTCACTGTATATGAGTCAAATAGTGAGCACGTAGGTAAGCCAGGTGCTGTTGCATGTGCTGGAAAGCCAACAGTAAAGAAAATAGACAAAATTTACATTCTGGTTAGGGAAACAAGATGAATAATTAAACAATGATGTTAGGTGTTGAAAACTCATAAAGAAGAAAAGTAAAAAGGGGGAAGGGAACAGAAGGTGGAGGGAAGGGGTGAACTTTAAATAGGATGGCCAGGAAAGATCTCCATGGGAGAGCTGGTTATAGGAAGAGAACTGAATGACCAAGGGAACAGTAAATGATAAGGTCTAGAGGCAAATGCGCCTGATGTATTGTATATTACTGAATAAAGGGAATTGGTTTTCTCCTGAATTACTCAGAAAAGAAAAATCCCAAACCTTCGTTTTAGTTTGTCTGTGAAAATTCTGTCTGAAGATTCCAAGAAGGAAAGCATAGAAATCATCATTGAACCTACAAATAAGAGGCAGCAACTTTCATGATACACAGATGAGGGTCACTCAGTTTCACTTAACTGTGAAAGTAGGGTAATCTGTTTCTGCTTCCAACTGTTCCAATTGGAATCAAGATAAAGCATGCACTTTAATTATAATAGTAAACAGCTCACCAGAATTTTCAACTGAGTGCTCTTAGAATCATTAAAGTCATTTGTTGTCACTGAATACATACTCCACTATGTTTTATGGAAAAAAAAATCTTAAGAAAAAAATTTCCTTGTTATACCACTTACTATTTACTGAAACTACAAAGTTCATATTTTTCTTCTTTCTCATTTTTATATTTATTTGAAAAGCATTTTAATTAACAATGGTTCATATTTTTCACTTTTACCTGGGCAAAAAGTAAGCTCTGGTCCAATATAAAAAACATGATGTTTTATTTGCAAGGAAATTTGGAAGTGTCTCCTTTCAAGAGGCAACTTTACGAAGCATTTCTCTTGAACTGTTACCCCTTTCAGATTTAATATTATAGTTAAATGGGACTTAATATGTTGCACTGAAATTCAACTGCTATCCTTTACCATAGGAACCTTAAACTTTTATTTCACTTGTTTGCTTCACTGACCAAACTGCAAGCCGCTTGGGAATAAGGACAGTGTCTTATTCATATCTGTCATCTCAAAAATCTACCAAATAAGTTAACTGCAAGGTACAATTCAAAATGATTTTTAAGGGCCTCCCTGGTGGCGCAGCGGTTGAGCAATGGGTTGCTGCCCGCAGCCTCTGGTGAATTCTCTCACCCTCCCGCGCTTCTGACCATACCCAGTGCATGTATAAACAAAACAAACAAACAAATATATAAATAAAACATGCCTCTTTTAAAAAAAAAAATTAAAATAAGAATCCTAGAGGTAGGTGTTTGTAAGTTTGATTAATTATTTGCTTTACTCTTGGCTTCCTGCTCTGTGTGCATAGAAGATCTTTCAGACTATCTCCCTTCCTCAAAGTCCCAAGATGGTCACCAAAGTTACAGTCATCACATGGACACATAGTAATATCCAGTATCAGAAGCATCTTTTTTTTAAATCATGTTGTTCTGTCTTTAAGTATCAATACCCTTCCATCCAACAATGTTACCTAGAAAGCATTTCACTGGCTGTTCTGTTTTTGTTGTTTGTTTTTTTTAAAGATTTATTTATTTATTTATACAAGCACTGGGTACAGTCAGAAGCTCAGTAGGGTGAGAGAATTCACCAGAGCCAGAGTAGGGAGCAGAGCAGGCAGAAGGACCGAAGTACACTGCTGAGGGAAGCAGCGGGTGGCAGGAGAGGTCTGCGCGCCATGTGGGACCCTCCTCTGGTGGCCGGGGAGCAGCCGGGTATCAAACCAGGGGGTGGGGGGGGTGGGGGGGTATCAAACTGGCGCTGCAGAGGCTGCAGGCAGCTTCGCAACCCAGCGCTCAACAGCTGCGCCACCGGGGAGGCCCAGGCTGTTCTGTTTTTGCCAATTTTCTGTCTCTCTTTTCATCAATGGTGAGGTAGATAATTTTTCTTCAGGGAAGAGAAATCCATGGTTTGTTGCCTTGGCCAATAACAAAAATTTCTGGAGAGCTGGATGGAAAGTTGTTGCCATTGGCATCTTTCACATGGAC